ATAATCATACTTTTTTTAAATAGCTCTTTATACATGGGTTTTGGATTGTTCTGTAAACTTGGAATTAGCACTCCTCTATTTAGAGATAGTACTTTTTATAATATTATGTTGTGCACGAGTTTTAAGCTAATTTTTTTTTTTTGTAACTCTGACATTGAATGAACTGTTTTGTAGCTCACAATGTGTTATCAGGCCAACTGGTTTACTAAGCTAGCCACCAACTTGAAATGTAATGTTTTCTTGGTTACTGAAATGTAAGTAATTACCCTTTTGTTGGTCACACCTCTTGTTTTTATGTTTTTTGGTGTTTGACATGAAATCTCTGTTTTTGTGCTTCCAGTATTTAACTTATTTGTAATTTTGTAAGTAATGTTGTTGTTTCCAAGTGAGCTGCGTGGTTTATAAACATTTAAAAATATTACAGACCCTTAGAGACATGCTATTCAAAAAAATATATATTTAATAAGTATATATAAATTGAAATATGCATTAAAAAAAGATACTACACAATTATAATAGCTTCTTCTTAATTTTATTATTTAAAAAAAATATTAAACCTCATTCTTTATAGCTTTATTAAAGAGTTGGAATGTTGGAGCTATCTGCTTGAATTGGGGGGGGGGGGGGGGGGTGTGTGTGAAAGGGGGGGTGGGGGGGGTGGGCGGCGGCAGTGGCCCTAAAAAGCTTGAGAAACATGTAACTAGTCGGATGATAACAGACTGACTTCTTAAAGTGTATAGAACAAAATCACATGTATATTGCACAACTATTGGTCTCTGTTGAGCAACTTATAAATGTCATGGCTAAAGAGCTAGCGTTTCGGGACTTTAGTAACTTGTGTCATGTGTAAAAGGCTGTACAAATAATAAGATAATGTAATGGATGGGTGGTTTTCATTGAACTATTTTTTTTAATGATATTTCTATTATAAATTCTACCAAACATAATATAATACCATTGTAAATGAATAACTTGCTTGTTTGTACTAATAGTAGAGTATCTGATGACTGATAGTGGAGTATCTGAGAGAGTCATTCTGATTGAAATTGTGAGAGGCAAAAAGGTTTAAGAAAGGAGAAAGTACCATTTAAGATCTACAAAAGTGATGGGTCAAACATGGTGTGTGCAAAATTGGTTTGGGGAAATGGATTTTTGGTGAGGGGGTGTGAGCATCAACAGGAGAAGATATGAAATATTTTAATACACAGCTCATCTCACAGATAACAGTTATATTGTTAACCATCCTCCTTCATGCAACACGCCTTACATTTTCAAATTAACTTTTTACTTATCATATGAACATTATGGGAGAAGGGGGGGGGGGTGTTGTTTTGGTTTTTCTCTGAAACTGTTTTTTTTTTTCATTTTAAAATTCATCTTTACACTACGGTCACAAGTTATTCAATAAATAAATATTATTTTACTAATTTTTATAGTTTTCTGTATTTTAGGCAGAAGTACCTTGTTTGATATATAAACATTTCTAAAGTTCGACAATAATATTTTGGAACACATAAATCTATGTACTTGACATGCGTAAATATTAGATGCTACAAAACTAGAAATTTTAGAGTAAAATTTTAACACTGGCTTAACATAAACATAATGAACTGCATCAACTTACATCTTAAAATATGTAACACACAGTACAGTCGTCCTTCGTTTATTACGGTTAATCAGTTCCAGACTCTACCGTGATAGGTGGATTTCCGCAAATTGGGATTCTTTATTTATAAATTGACTATTTTTGTAGTTAGAGCAAAGAAAACCTGTTCACCACCCTCTAATCTAAATACAGTTTTTAACATTATTAGACCCTCTGGGGATGCTTGAATACATAGGACTACAGTCCAAACGTACAGTGATTTTAATTTTAATACAGGGATGTATGATTGATTCTGACAAACGGGCACATGCTCTATCATTTTCACCATCTCGATCAACTTTTTAAGGAATACGTGTTATAATTTTTTAAAACGTGAGCCAAGTGAGGAGGGACGACTGTATGTCACACATTGCAGCAGTTAGGTTGGTAACCCCAGGGGCAAAAAAAGAAAAGCAGCATTGAAATCATTGGCTGATAATTATTATATAATAAACTGTTTTTGCTCACAAACCCTCAAGGTTATGTAGAATGTTAACGGGCATGAATGTGAAAAGAGACATATCATATTATTATAAGAAAAAATTTACAAAGATGAGTCCTCTGTTTGTAACGGGACATAATAAAGATATGTTCCAACTACTTTTTCAATCAGAATTATCATAATTAAGAGATGCGAGCTGTTAGAAATTCCATGTAGTTAATTGCTTCAACTGTATTTTTTTATTTAGTTCTGGAGTCCTTGAAAATGCATGAGCATACCGAGTAAAAAAATGTTTAAGGTTCAATTGGAAAGAACATTTTTAAAAGTCTGAAGTCTTATATTCTTTTTAATTAAAAATTTAAAAAAAAAATGTATTTAAAAATATCATAAAAAATTTAAAAAAAAAAGTTTTTTAAAAAATTATATTTGTTTCTTCTTTTTCCCATTAATTCCCCCCCCCCCCCCCCTCCGCAATTCCTAGTTTTTGAAGTTAAGCTTATGTTAGATGATAATTATCTGTATAAAGAAATATATCAAGAAATTAATCACTTGTTTCTTTTTTAGGTTACAGATGGTGTAACAACTTGTAACATTGAGATTTTTCAAAACATATGCCTGTCACCAATATTAAATAACATCTATGATGTTTCTCAAACTGTTTTGGAATATAAAAGACTGGCAAATATATTCCATTAGAATGGCATGGCATTGAATTGGTCTGATTATGCTTCCCATTCTTGTTCCTATTTGTCGAAGTGACACAAATAAAGCTGTAATATTGGTAATTTACACTGAACAACTAGTCCCACTTTCTACTGTGGATTCAGGTCATTCAAGTGTTTCCACATATCTTGTCTCACCACATACTCCTGACTTGACTAAAGTAAAGCTGTCTTGAGGAACATTGCATGGCTACAGTTCAAGTCAGTCTCATCCGCCATTTCATGTTTTAACAAAGCAAACAGTGGTCAACAAGTCCAGGTGCAAAATTTTATGACTATTCTAGGTTGGGAAAAACCAACCTCATTTGAATAATATGGACTGGGAAGTTGAATTTCATTTTGAACGTAATTTTAAGCAATTTGTTTTTTCACTACTACTACTACTGAGAAGTCCTTTTGTCTCAAATACTTTTATGTGAATTATGAACTGAGCAGGCAAAATTTTACTTTGAGCATTTCCATCTAGATTTTAATTGCGGTTGATTAATTTTTTTTTTAAACTACTAAAAAGTCCCAAAGCCTCTTGAGAATATCTTATTTTGATACTTTTAGTGCTCTACAACACATGCTATTCTGTCTTTTTCTATTGTTCTTAATTAAATAATTTTTTTCCCCTCACATTTACACATTATTGTGAAAAATCTAAGATATTAGTTAGAGATATGAGAGTTTTTTGTTTTTTTTAATGTAACCAAGTGATGAGATTTAAATAGTGACTTTGTACAGTCAGTGTTTGTGACTGCTTATGTATTTAAATTGATGAAAAATTATGAAACCTCTTCTTTTTTTTTTTTTATGTGCAAGATGTTTTTTTCCCACTAATGAATTAAAAGGGGTTTAAGTTGAAAGAATATCAGAATATTTGTACACAATTAAGGGCTACATAAACAGCATCTGAATTCAGTGTTCTTGTTGGCTCGTTAAAAAAAAAACTTTGTCACCCTACATAATTATTCTTTACATAATCTCAGAGATAATAAAGTTAGTGGTTGTCAGAGCGTACTTGATAATGAAACATTTCAACATGTAAACAAAAAAAAGTCAATGCATGAAAAGAGTTTTGAAATGAGAGAAAAGAGGTAATTTAATGACTGGTGCGTCACTCATTGATGTGTAATGCCACCACCCTTAGGCGTGAACATCACTCATTGATGTTTATGCCACCACCCTTAGGTGTGAACATCACTCATTGATGTTTATGCCACCACCCTTAGGTGTGAACATCACTCATTGATGTGTAATGCCACCACCCTTAGGTGTGAACATCACTCATTGATGTTTATGCCACCACCCTTAGGTGTGAACATCACTCATTGATGTTTATGCCACCACCCTTAGGTGTGAACATCACTCATTGATGTTTATGCCACCACCCTTAGGTGTGAACATCACTCATTGATGTTTATGCCACCACCCTTAGGTGTGAACATCACTCATTGATGTTTATGCCACCACCCTTAGGTGTGAACATCACTCATTGATGTTTATGCCACCACCCTTAGGTGTGAACATCACCCATTGATGAGTAATGCCACCCCCTGAGGTGTGACCATCTGATTGTTTAAAGAAGGCCACCCACAAAAAGCACTTTTATTTTTGTATGTATGCATTTATTATTTTTTAAATTGAATTGTGTTTACTTCACTGACCATTAATTTACCACAAACATTTTTTTAATTAAAGTGGAGCGTTTGATGAATGGCACTTTACACAACAGAGTGCGTTTCATTGTAGGCTTCAGGGTAATATATGAGAAGTTATAATTATCTATAATGTAATGTATGTCTCATGATCACAACCAAGCCCCCCCCTCGTATTTGTATGTTTACTCTGATCAAAACAGATAAACAAATATTTGGTTGTAAGATATTTTTTTTTTTTGGCATGGATTTCTGAGTATTTATTTGTATTTTCTAATTTTGAGTTCCATGTACAATGAATAAAAAACGGGAATAATGTTTGAAAGGACTTGTTTTGATATTTTTTATGTTAAATCTATCTTCAGTTGTTACAATATGGAATGCTAAAACTAAACAAAATTTTATCTGAACTGATAATGTTGCAAAATTAGACTTTTTGCCAACTCTTTTTAAAACTAGGTAAAAAAATTTTAAAAACTCATAAAGAAAAAATTATGTTCAAACAATCAGCTATCTTTAGCATGCAATGTTTTAAAAACATGACCTTTTGACTGTGCACATGAAAAAACATAAAAAGTAGTTACAGTAAGAATATCAATAATTAAAAAAAATAAAAATATTTATTTACTTCTGGTTGACACATGAATTTATTCACTTAAGTTACAGATTAATGAACAGGCTCAATACACTGATATAACAAATTCAGACATTTTTACAGAAAAAGATTTTAATATAAAATTGCTAACAAATAGTCATATTTCTTTGTCTGCATTATGCTGGGAAAAAAAAACCTCTATAATCTTCCATCACCTGTATCACAAAAGTCACACTAACAATAATCTGATACTCTCACTATGGTTATTTGTTCTTCCTTTCTCTGAGCTTCCCCACCAGCTTAAGTCTGACATCACATCTGAATGTGTCCATCATGGCTTGCTTGGCCTGGCTGGCCACTGTCTGGATCATCTTCCCATTGGAACCCAGGAATATTGTCTGTAGACAAAAGAATTGTCTCAGTGTTTTATTGACAAGTCACAAAGTTCAATATCAAAATTGGTGCATCACAAAAAGGTGTGGCGTTGCACAGTCAAGTTGAGAAGAAGGTGACAATTGGTGCAGTGCTTTTAACACTACCTTCAAGTCCCACCAAAGCAGAAGCTCAAAGTTCACAACCGACCCATTCAGCCCAACATATCACTGCATTGTTCTACTCACCAAGTGTCTGGTTGTCTCACAGTAAATATTAACAACAACATTGAGGAGACCATCCTCGGGGTCAACTTCCATCACAACAAGATCCTAATGCCAGAGAATAGACAACATGATAACCAAACTGACAGGTTATAATTCTTGGATAAAAACCTATGTAACATGCATCCTAGGTAATAAATCACTTAAACTTATTGATATCACAACACTTAAGACCACTGATGAAGGACAAATTTAATTTTGACATTTGATTTAGTATTATTTAATTTAAATTATTTTATATAACTGCTAATTGCTATATTTATTTGAGATGAGGCAGTCTATATCTCTCCTTTCCTCACATATTTTTACATTCACTGTCAGCATTTAAGAGTTAGTCTTGTCAATTCAGTATTCTCACCAGGCCGAGCTGATATGGCACCTCATTCTGGAGGTTATCCAACAGCTTCTCCCTGACACACATGATGACCACCTCCTGAGGTGACTGGTCCGTCACCAGACTGCTGTGGTAGTCCCAAGGCCTCGGGGTGGCCTGATCTAAGAGGAACCTCTGGGGAGGTGGTAATTGTAACAGCACAAGACATGACATGCAGCAGTACATAAAATTAATATTCATTTATTTGTTTTTTGTTTTGTGTTAAATTTTAGTGTATTATTGTTAGGGGCATGGCAGGTGTTCAATGTTACTCTTATACTAAGAACAGAGGAAGGAAAATTTTCAAAATTAAATTTTTTTTAAAACTATAATCAACTGTGAGGATTATAAATGAAAAATCTTTTCGCTCACAAAAACTATCATGATCATTGGGCTCGGCTTTTGTTCTCAAATTGAAATTTAAAAAAAAAATAGTCCCCTTAACAGAAACAACACAATATTTACCTTTAGCTGTGGCAGTCCCTCTCCTGTCACAGATGAAATGACAAACACCTCTTTGAATAAAGGCCAGCCCTTCTGGTCTCTCACAGCCTTGTGAGCTCCTCTCTGTTTGTCAAAGTACTCGTCCCAAGAAAGCTCTTCCATTTTTTTAGTTTTCTCATCTGGGATCAAGAGATGCTCTGGCAGCTCTGCAAGCAATAGCAAAAAATCCTGATGAGTGTATGCATTTCTATATTAAGTATTAATAGTAATGCATTCAATTATGGATCTTTAAAAATGAAAAAATACAGGCAATTATAAACAATAACACTAAAAATACCAGAACAGTTACTTTATTTTTTATGTTACTTTATTTTTTAATAGGTTACTTTATTTTATGAGAATAAAGGAAATTTAGTATCTGCACCAAAAAGCACCATTGCTGCTTTTGACGGTTAAACAAGATGAATAATAGTAGTTGATTAGCAAAGATGAATCAATATTTCTGACACACTTACTGGCTTTTTCTGAACTAGCATCTTGGAACCCTGACAGCAAAGTTTGTCCATCATTATTGTTTTCATTTTTTCTTTGATCTAAAATTTTATCAGCAGCATCAAAGAGGGCATTTTTTTTTATTTTCTTGTTCTGACTTTCTTTCATGAGGTAGTGGCCACCTACAACACCATCTGTGAGGAGGCGGATCGCTTGCAACAGGGAACTACGTTTTTTAACTAAATCCACCTGTAAATGAGAAAAGTAGATTATTTGTACTACAATTTATCATTAATACAACTTAGGTGATAACAAAAGATAAAATGGATTTTGCTCACAAAAATTATAACTAAATGTTAATACTTGATGCAAATCGCTTTAGAATTTTTTTAATGCATTTTTTGCTCAAAAAATATTTTCCTTAGGAAAAATACATCTCTTATAATTTTTGTCTAAAATGAATTTAAATTAATCTGTTTAGATGTGTTTTTAATTATTTACAATAACAAATATATTACTTTTGTGTAAATTTGGGTAACTATTACCGAACCCTTTCCAAGATCCCAGTCATAACTAAGACAGCAATACATTCAAACTTTGTGTTAGTTAATGAGCACCTTATTTAAGACCAAAATAGTTGGAATATGTCTGTACAAGTAGAGAATCTGCAGCAGGTTGGGATCTAGTTCTGATGTTGAAAAGGTATGGGACACATCCACCATTGCTGTCACTGTGGGGAAAAAGTTCACTGAAATGTTATCATTGTTACCACCAAGTACCTTGTATACACATTTTAGCACAGATTTTCAGTGATTCTTTCGGAGAACATAAAGACTGAAGAAAAACTTGTCTAATATTTTATTTGAGTCTCTGGACTACTACTATTGCTGCTATTACACTTGTGGTGGATCATGTCATACACATGCACAATTATGCTCTGCTACTCCGTACTGAGCTGACAGCCTTGCTTCCCAAGTCACAAAAGTCCTGAATATTAGATGTCAAATAACGGACTCCTTTATTATCCGAAAAATCATATACCAAAATCCCTACAACCAAAAGTCACTAATAATAAGTTTAGAATTTCTACAATCACATAATTAAATCCATATTAACAACAGGCTATAATAATCCTTTCAAATTAATCCCTTATCTCTCACTACTCCATGTACGCATCATAATTCACATCTCTCTCCTGACACACTAAATATAGATATATATACACCCTCCTGTCCATCATCAATGACAATCTCACCAAGCCTTGTTCACTTACACTCACACTTCTTCTGGTGAACACAACTTACTCTAAACCACCAAAAACCAATAGTGATTCTCAAACCTTTGACAATTTTCTTTAATTTTAAAAGATATATCTTACCTAAATCAGCAGATGCTAAACTCCTAACAGGATCTAGTTCCAGAGTCTTTTCCAAGTTATGCCTAAAAAGAAAGAATAAAAATATTTAACAATATCATTACCAGTGCAAGGAACCAAAAAACTGTTTTAACATAAATTCTTGAAAAATGAATTAAATAAATATTACAGTATTAAAATGAATATTGATTAAATAAAGGCTGGCCAGATGCAGATATTTCAAAGATTAGCAATAATGATTAATCATACTGTTAGATTTAATTAATGATATATATTTATATATTTTATAGTCTATTAAAAAAATGTATATCTCTCCTTTCAATAATCTATAATAGATTATTGAAAGAAGAGATCCACATTTATTTATTTTTTGATATTGTAATATATAAAACTAACTTTGGTTATTATGTAAATGTAAGATGTGTCTATAGCACCTATCTGTAAAATATTTGATATTTTTGTCATACATCTAGCCCAGTCAAATTTCTATAGCTCTCTGATATTTCTATGCAGTCACATAATTCCATCTCAGTCAAGTATTTCAAACAAGTTATTAAAAGTCTGGTTACTTTTTCCTACTCCCTGGCTGCAATATTCCAGGAGTGTCAAGAAATACAATTTGTGTTTCATCTTCTGTAAATATGGCCAAAGTATTTTTCCTAGTTGTGTGAACTTTCCCTGAAACAGATGATACCTGAAAGAAAAAACATATATATAAAAAGGAGCTTGTTAAAAAACAAACAACCCAAACTTGTTCAATATTTATCCTGCATGAACTGACTGTCAAATGTCAAGATTTTGTTTTAAAAATTGTTATCACAAGAGTTTTTTTTTTAATGAAAATTCAATTTTTATATAAAGTTTTAAAAGATATTTAATTTTAATTTTTTTGACTAGAGCTGGCATATTGTTATTTTTACTATTTGGAAAAATATAAATAGGGATAACAAAGAAGTAAATAAAAATGTCATCTTAGTGTAAAATAAAAAAAATAGAAATTTAGTACAAAAGTTATTTTGAAATATGAAACAGGAGATTTTCAGGTGTAATTGTATTTTGTGATTTCAAAGAAGATATTCATATGAGATACAATCATTTGTACACTGAACAGACTATCCTATTTTTGTCATCAGATATGCTGAAACATTTCCAAATCTGACAGTTTTCTTTCATAACAATGCAATTAGGATTAAATTAAACCATTACAAAACACTATTCGACCATAGTCAATAGAGTAGCAATGATCCTGTTTAGACAGAAATAAAATGATTGATTATATATGAAAAATCAGCCTATTATCTTGAAATGTATATCTTCATTAGTTTAAGAGTTTAACAAATCATGCAACCTCATTTTTATTGAGTATTAATAAAAGCACAACTGACCCTCCAACCCAGTAAGGCATTTGTAAGTGTTGACTTTCCACAGTTGGGCCTGCCAATAATTGCTACACGCAGCAATTTTGACCCTGGTGGAGAATCTGGTTTAAGAAGAGCTCTGAACCTTTGCGAGTCTACAAAGAGATGTTAAGAAGAAATACACACCTAAAATGATGCAAATTTTGGGTGAGCTTAATTACCAAATCTAATTCAAGTTATAATTACAAAACTTTCCTATTCGGAAATGTATTACATTATTTTGACAGTGCTGCCCCAAATGTAATTTTCTAGATGCTTCATTGTCATTTAAAAAATTTAATATTGCCTCACTTTAAGTTATTTTCATTGGACAAAGTTTTTGTTCATGCTATCAGTTCATAATACTCTAGTTAAGAAGTACATTTTGGTCTAATGGAATATTTTTATATTCAATCATACTATTTGCAAATGACAAAATTATATAATTTATTTAAACTATTTGTTTGTTTACCTCGGGTCATTCCCACCAGCCTCTCAGTGCTATTTGTATCTTCACAACTATCAATATTTGAAATACACTTATCATTTGAATCAACATTTTCATGACTACTATTCTGTATTACCAGGTTGCCATTTGTATGAAACTTTGAGTTACACAAATGGTGTGATGATTTTTTGGAATTTAACTGCAGCAAAAACAACGAGAATTTATGAAACTCAGTTCTTGAGCAGCAGTTAATTAATTCTGATTTAAATAGTGTCTGTATAAACCCATATTTTGTCATCCACCCCGTCATTTCTGTGATATCTCAGTGAAATTCAGTAACTGCTGCTAGCTTGATTGCAATTATGGTGATCATTGGGGGCCATGTTCTTTAGAAAACTGCAAAAAGAAATTATGAAAATCATCGAATACCATCATTTGGTTTAAGCTAAACTAATATGTTGAGCAACCTACCACTCTATTTTAAATAATCATTCCCTGCCCCTACATACAATACATAATACTTACTATCTAACACAGACTCATGACTCCATGACTTAGCTCTCAATCTGTTCCTATAATTTGGCATTGATCATCTGATAAGGTCAGTTTTAAAGTTTTAGGTTCCCCAATTTTACTAGTAAAAAGTAGTATTTAATTTTTACTGAATAACTATACTAGTTAATGATAATGAATGAAATATGAAAATGAATTGAATGCCATGTGCATGGCATGTTTTTATTTATATTTATATGAATATATGTTTGCCCAATCATTCAGTATGAGTACAGTATGGCTACGGCTATGATCGGACTATGACTGTGTTTTGTACTTTGTCATGAATATGAATATGAACTATGGATGGTCCCTAACTAAGGCACTAACTTTCACTAAGGCTTAGTCTATGGACTATGGAGTAGGCCCTACAGAGGTTACGCTACATATAGTACATGGGTATACAAAATATTCTCATTAATTCAACAAAAATAATAAATAGTAAATGTTTCAGTTAAAAATAAAAGTAGTCAAGTGTAAAGCAGACAGTAAATCTAAAAGTAAAAGTAGGATTTAAAATGTGGACCCGATGAATATTCTGAATAGGCTTAAATGGCTTAAATGTCTTTTGTACTCAGAGATAAAATTTAAGGCTCACCGAAAAATATACCGGTAATAAAAAATTTGTTATTGTGCTAGTGCAGGCCTACTTTCATTAAGTTTACACAATTATTAAATAAATAAGCACATCAATACTAAATTAAGTAAACTTTACTTAGTCTTAGTGATTAGTGTTACAAAGTTACAGACTGAGATCTTTAGTTCCTGGAAGTAGAAAAACTATTTGTCCAGACTAAACAAAACTTGGTTCGGGAAAGATACGAAATGATTAAGTGAATCATTGGAATTGTCTAGCATTCTTACGCTGGTTCGAATTCATTTATGCCAAATTATCCACTAATCATATCAAAATGATATAGATTGATTTAAGAGTTCAGTGATTCTAAACTTCAGAATGGTCAGGTCTCAGCTTTGGCTTTAGGTCTACTCAGAACGACTTTATTATTTATTTAACAGACAGAGACTGAGACTTGGTCGTGGAGTTACGAGTGGGCTGAGAGTTGAGACTGAGACGCTTCAACTTCAAACTTGTACTTGTTCAGCTGTTGGCTTTGTACTACATCGAGACTACGGTTGTACTCAAACAGACTGACGTCTGCCGCTGTCTGTTCTCATTGATCACTCTGTCAACACTAATTGTGACATTTAATCATTTCTGTATCACCGTGTGCCGTGTAAGTGTATCACCTTTTAAGTCTTAATACTTACTTAATACTTGCTGATGCTGAAGTCGCACTTACTATACACTATACTATACTATTTTGAGTAGAGTTAGTTATCACTGACTGAGACTGAGAATACTATAGTATATAAATAATACTAATAGTGCTAAGGCTAATTTAAATTATAATTTAATAACAAAGTAACACTTAACACTAAAGACAGTTATAGTGTAGTGTTGTGAATGTGATAAAGAATCTCATGTCATAGCATATGAGTGATAGTCAAAATAAAAACAGTAGGTTAGACCATCGAGCCAGAGCTCTTTAGGCTGCTTCCCCAATATACCACCTCCCCCCCCCAGCCCAACTAAACCTAATCAGGCCATGAAGTGGCACACTGGGAGCACTCCGCCATCGGGAAAGCCCCACCCTCCTTCCACTCGACCAAGCAAGCAAGTGGGGCATCCAGCCGGTTGGGTGCTGGGTGGCAGAGCGGTCTAAATTAACTCAATCCCCACCAAAGCCAACATCCCAAGCACCTCGGGAAGATGGAATTTGTTAGCCTTGGACGGCAACTCATCTAGGAAAAGGCAAACTCTGAATTCAAACCAGAATGATCAATAAATTGATTGTGGGCCTTCACATATAAGAAGAAGAAGAACCAAACTTTCTTGCACTAGGATGTATGTATTTTAACTTCCCTAAAACACACCCCCTCCCATCTTAGAATCAATTTATTCCTTCTTAAATTTTAAACTCAGTGATTTTCCTCCACTTGGCTTGGAAATTTGGTGATTAGAGGCATATTTCACAGTATGGTATACCTTGCATATCTTGCATCATCTTGCTGCACAGAGCTCTGTGTAAGACCTACTTACTAAACACAAAGACAGACAGTAATTAAGTAATAGTTAAGCCTTTCTTTAAGGAATAATAAAACAATTGTTAATTATAGATTAAGAAGACCAGTTACAAGTATACAGAAGTTGCGTAGACGTGAAGTGTCTCGTAGTTAGACCCAATTTAATATTTTAGTCAACACTTTAACTTATTCTCAGGGGCACAAATAAGTTAAGGAAGTGTTTTTCATAAATGTCCTAATCAATAACCTGCCCCTACATACATACTAACACTGACTTAGATCTAACTCTCTATCTGATCCTATCTTTGCAGCATTCTCTGTGTACAATTTTGCGGTGAAATATTTTGAGAATAGATTTCACAATAACTAAGCAAAATTAATGAATTAAAAAATGTATAGTAAATCTTCATATATCATCCACCTGTTTGCATATTTACAAGCAGCTTAGTAACTTATTGTGAATAACTTAATTATATATTATATTTATTTAAGTAAAATATTATACAAAACTAAACAATAATGATTGTAACCATAGGCATCTTATCTGTGTATTTACTCTTTTTTAACTAATGCCAGTGTTAAGCTCAGTGACAACAAACAGATGTCTTGAGCCTGAAGGTTTTTTAACTATAGAATAATCATTGCATAATTTATTATACTTTACAAGCTAGTCAGTTTAGTTAAATAACTCATCATACTGTCAGTAGCAAAATGATTTTTGTCAAAATAAATTACAAATTTAAAAAAAAAAGATATTTAATATTGTATTTTAGTCATCTTAATACTAGACTAGAGTTTCCTTTTCAATAGTAGCCTTTTTTAATCCTTAGGCTTTGTTCTTGTTTTTTAATAGGCTAACCAATGGATGAATACAACCAAGACAGTGATGATACAGAGTCACAGACTGTTCAAGCTGTTCATTCACCTCGATGGGCACTGAAGAAAAACCCTTGCTTTGATGCAAGCCGACTTATAGAGAGATCTCAATCAGATGCCCTTCTTATAAATTCAGACTGCTCCAAACAGTTGCCAGAACGTACAAGTTCAGTTGATCAAATTGTGCACGTAAGTCAGGTTAACATCCTAAAACCTAAGGTCTCAGAGACAACAAAGGTCTATTTTGATTTGTCGAATATTGAAGTGTCATCTGGAGAATCAGATGGAGATGATGCTGTGATGGCAACTTCAAAGAATAAGAGGAAGAAAAAGCTAACTTCCACAGCTAGCAGACTTTTAATAGCAAATAGAGAGTTGGAAACCATTCCCCAGGACTTTGAGGTGGATGAAACAGACTCAAATCACAATGCAGATCCATCAGTGGATAAAGATGAAACCTTTGAGTCAGCACCTGGGGAGCTACAGCTTGGTTCTTACAAGCCCATTCTACGCTCTGCTAATGGAGAACCTGATGAATCTCAAGGCACCAATTCACCTTCTATTACATCAGAGGATTTGGACAGCAGTGATGGCAGCACTTGCTTTTACACCAAATACCCACTCCGCTTCCCTCATGGCTACTCTCTGAGCAAGTACAGACACAACCTAAAACTGAGTTATCAGACACTTTCTCAGAAGCTGGAGCAGCACATAGTCCAAATGAGAGGTGAGCTTCTGCTGACTGGGGTGGTGCATGATGAGGGGTTAGATTTGTCAGATGAGAGCAGGATCATAACTTGACCTTGTTAAACAACATTACAGACTTTTTCAGAAGTTACAATGCTAAATAAACTGTATTAGGATCTGGCTGAAGTTACATTTTTTTAAATGTTGAATTCAACACAATTTTTTTTTTTGAGAGTATAAATATCTTTAAAAAAATATAACTCTGATTTGTATGATACTCTACAGTTGTAAAAAAAAAAAGAAGAAAACATTAAAGTTTCTTTATTTGTTTGTGTGTAGAGGAAATATTTTAAAAGCAGCGTTTTGACTTTTTAAAACAAAAAGATATTATAATTTGAATAGTTTTATCAACATTTATTGTACATTAATAGTAATATTGCAGTAAACTTATAAGAGCTATAAAATAAAATAAATTGTTAGACATGCAAAAAATTACAGTGGCATTTTAAAAGTAAATAACCAACAAATATTATATTCTTTAATATGTTCAGTAAACTTTGATCTGAAATAGTTTAATGAAAATGAGGTTCTCTATTGTCATATTTTGTTCAGCCCTCTATTGTCTCATATTTTTCAGAGTATTATGTAGTTGTTGATTTAAATTGACAATTAACAATGATATACAATGAAATAAATTTAATAGCAAAAAAAAACAAAACATTAGCGACATGGGATTGGCTGGAGGCTCCAGACGTTTGAACATTCAGTTGTATTAGTTTGTGATGCAACAATATGATGAAAATAAAGATTAAATGAAACACACTATTTAAACAATATACAATTTGAAAAGTTTTACTTGGCAATTATGTGAACAAATACATTTTAACTGTAGACAGACTTGTAAAAGAGCATTTCACAGTTCTCTAATCTCTAACAAAACCCTTATCAGTATAAGACAAGCGGGCCAAAGTACTTGTCAGTTCCAGAAGCTCGATTGGAATAAAATAGGGTTTGTTATCTGGTCATATTGGTTTAATATTCACCTGGGACGGTTATTGGCTAATGGGGATACCTTTTTTGTGACCCATTTTATGGTGCTATTTATGGGAAACATCAATTTTTTTAAATGACACCAAATTTGTTCAGAAATACCAATCCCAACTGGAATGGGTACTGTAGTGATTAATCAATGATGTATAATCCCCTTATTTAGAAGTATGTGTTGATTATCACCTTTGTTCTAAATGTTGTTTGATTTGAAAAAAAAGGAACCCTTGTGGATTTAATGGCTCTACAGGGAGGTTAACATAATAAAATGGTGAACATGCAAATATTGTTTATTTTTATAACCATAGTATTCAAAAATATTTATTTTAAAAAAATGAAGTTTGTAAAAAGCAATTTGTACTAGAATTTTAGTCTAAATAGTAAATCTTATTCTTTAAAATTGTATCCTATTGCAACTCTTCAACACCATAGGAGCAGATGAGACCCTAAAGATAAAAATCTTGCAGGACATTCTGAAACTGACCAAGGAAGCTTGGGATACCCCCGTGTACGGTCGTGACCTGGCCTACAGCCTTTGTGACATCATCCGCATGGAGGGCTTATTGGATCAGCTGATTGTCAACTGCTCCACCACAAACAGGGAGCTGCTCCTGGCATCAGCCAACCTTCTAGAACAAGTAACCTGGCATTAACTTCAACACTATTTAAAACTGTAAATTTGTAAAAACCCTTTGTGGCAATAACATTTTATGCTCTTTGTCTTCTTCCAGTGTGTTATTGGTGTCAGCTTATTGCTAGAACTCATTTCGGGCTATTGCCTAGTGACCAACGGATGAGTTTGAAAATTTTGGACTTTACTTATTTTTCTTCTTTTACTTAGATATTAAATGCACTGATCATGTGGCCCTATTTCAGAGTTGCCTGTACTTATTAGCAGTAATAGTGACAACACATTGATCATATAGATAATTATATATGTGGGTTAAATGTTGGCTCCCCGGGATGCATGTCAGTTTTCGTTCGTCATTTGCACGTGAAGATGACTTGAGTAGTAGCCTTGACTTGAGTTGTATTTAGTTTAAAGTGAGGGAGAGTTGCTCAGTTCTTCAGCCTCACTCTCTCGTCCTTGCTTATTTGATCCAGTAGCAAGACTTGGTCAATATGGCTGGAAAATGACCATGATGCAGTAAATGACCTGCAGCCTGTGTGTGTGTTTCACTGTGCTCTTTATGCATTCTATGTCGCAGGAGTCGTCATAATTTTCATTGTGTCAATGCCATGATGTCAATGGAACTCCATCTCCATACTTGTCTTAGATGAGTTGTCGTCCAAGGTTAAAGCGCCCTGTCCACCCAGGCTGCTGGTGATGACTTTGCTGGTCTGGAGACTGTCTCAGTTTAGACCGCGCAGTCACCCAGCACCCAATCTATGTAACACAAGGAACACTAACTGGAATGTTACAACAGTATTGGAACAATTTATATAATGTTGTTTGTTCATATTTTAGCTGATGGTGTCCTTTTCCTAGTTTTAAAATAACTATTGATTTTTTTTTTTTGTTCAGGTGATGTCCACGAGGAACAGAGAGAGAGTGGCCAAAGATGGTCTGGAGGCTGTTGTGAAAATGACAAGAGATTATGCTGGTGACCTAGAAATGGCTAAAGCTGCCACAGGTGTGTGGGACACTTTACACATAACATGTAGATTAATAGATTGCCTATTGTTGGCTGGGTAATTTAAAATTCATTAGTGCACCAACACAATCTTACTAAGACCAGTCTGATATTCTCACTGTTTAATTTTTAAATGATAATGAAATAAGGACTGTTTTAAAGCTTTGTGAAAGAAATAGAAGTACCCAAGTTTTTTTAAACTACTTTCTATTTCTCATTGTTTCTCCTGTCCTGTCTGCTGAGTAAGGCTCTTAGCCAAAATGTTCTTCTTTTACTGTCTTGTCTTTCTATTTCAAGATTCCACATACCTTCTTCTACTATTTCCTGCAAATTATAAATTCTGAAATTTTGCACCACATAACCACTCAAATTAAAATTAAAGAAAGACAAGTTGTTAAAGTATTGACTTTTATTTATACATTTTCACAAAAAATGTTCATTCACAAGTGGGAAGAAAAAGAATTCATTTTATTCCATGTCAAAAGTTTGCGATCTGAATTTTTCGCCCCTGAAACCCTCAAAAGCTTTTTGTTTCTCTCTTCTAGATTTCATAGTTCATGAAATCTGAAGACATGCGGTGCATGACACCTACACTTTGAAGTTGGTGTCTTGCAGACTCTTCTTTCTTTCCTGTGCGATGTTTGGGCTTTCTGCTTGTTTTTTTTTTCATTTTCCCTGAGCTGCCCATCTGATTGCTTATGAACTGTGTTTGGTGGCATTCTAGTAACATAACACAAGCCATCTCCAGGGATATGCTTGGATGGTTTTTGCAATGTTTGTCACTTTTGATGGATGTCTCAGTTCTTTCTTTTTTTTTTTTTTTTTAAATACTCTTAGATCAAAGTGGATGCTATGGGTTCTTCACAGGCATTAGGTCTTGAAAGCTTCCAGCTTCTGCTTTAACATGGTAGTGGTCTTCCAGTGCTTTGATTCATAGAGGAAAACACTCTTTTACTTTAAATAAAAAACTGGTCTTACTGTGAAATTCTTAGGTTTCTCAAACTCTTTCACATCTTCCTTTATGTGGATGTAAATATTGATTGTGTCCATCACGCTGTTATTTGTTTCCTCCACACCTGTGTTCTCTTGTTGTTGACCTTAGCCTCTGATACTGACAATTTCAGCTAGATTCTTTGTTTTGTCGTGGGTTACTTGGTTTTGCTTGCTGTACAACATTCCCATGAAATCAGTGCAAAGCATATTCTCAAGCTCCGAGTTCAGTGTCCATTGTATTCCATGCCTATCTCCATCTGTCCTGTGAGCCAATCAGATGTTAGCGTGGAAAGAATCAGTGAGTGAGAGAATGCCACCCTGCTTCATTACAGTCTCAGCTTTGAAAGGTTCCGTCAGGTGGCCAATATGGAGACCTGTTCATTCAAACTTCCCATAGAGTATTTTGATTAGTTTTTGGGGAATGCCGTAGCATCTCAGAATCTTTCAAAGTGACTCTGTGTGCAGGCTGTCAGACATATTCTCCAATCAACACAGACTATATAGCAGAGCTGCATTCCTTCAAGTCTCCTTTAGAATATGCCTTGGGACAAAGATGTGATAAAATAGTCTTACATTACTGATCTGTGTTAAAATTTGATAGGTGAAGTTAGGGACCTTGGTTCAAAATGGCCTCAAAAATGATAAAAACAATTTTCTGGTCAATTTGAATAAAAGGGTATTTGATTATTTTTTTTAAAACTTATGTTAATGCTACAACTTTCATAGTACTTTGTATAATTTAGGCAGTTGCACAATTGGACAAGCATGCTCAGGTTCTTACATGGTCCATTCAGTAATATCCACCATATTCATACTTAATCTATTAAATACTTTTTCTTTTTCATACTTTTTCTATTACATACTTGTTCTATTTCATACTTTTTCTATTTCATACTTTTTCTATTACTAGCCAGCTGAAAGCTTTGTATTGATAAAAGATAATGGCAGCAAGAATTACATTTTAGGTATCTTGGAGAACATGTTTAAGTTATCAGAAGAAACCTGTACTAAGGTGATCAACCTGGGGGGCCTGGATGTCATCTTGAGGTGGTGTCGCTGCGGGACAGATTACTCCATACTCAGACGTTGTGCCAAGGCCCTGGCTAACCTCTCACTCTTTGGTGGGGCAGAGAACCAGGAGATTATGTCAAAACACAAGGTGGGCTCAAAATTGAGGGTTGTACCATAGGTGACTTCACAAATAAGGGATTATGCTATAGAAGGGGTTACAAATGGGGGTTATACTATAGCTGGGGTCACAAAAGTGGGGTTAAGTTTCTGGTAGATTTACTAATGGCATTCATATGTCAGGGTCAGATAGGTGAATGGGTATTTTGTGTCAGATGAATGGTGAGCTGATATTTTGGTGTTGTGACCTACCCATGACATTGGTATAATCCACGTTATCTTTTTATCCATTTTTCCTATTTTCTCTTAAAGGTACCAGAGTGGTTATTCCCCCTTGCCTTCAGTGATGACAACAGTATTCGTTATTATGCCTGTTTGGCCATCTCTGCTCTTGTTGCTAACAAAGAATTGGAAGCCTCTGTCATAAAATCTGGCACACTTGATTTGGTGAGTGACTTGATGTGCGAAATTTACTAATTAACTAAAACTATTGAGTCATATGAAAATCACGAAGATCATGAAGGAAAAATGTAATAAGAAAATATTAATTTCAGTATTTATTAAGAATCTTAATGCTTTAGAACTGGATTAGATAAATGAGCATAGACTATCAACTGGTAATCAAGGGATGCGTAATTATTCATGAATAGAAGAGTGGAAATAAACTTTGAAAAAACATTAACATGACAAACACATATCTTCAGACAAATATGTACACCACAAACATCAGCTCAGTGGTTCTCAACCTTCCTAATGCTGCAAACCTTTAATACAGTTCCTCGTGTTGTGGTGACCCCCAATCATAACATTATTTTTGTTGTTGCTTCATAAATATGTGTTTTCTCATGGTCTTAGGCGACCCCTGTGTAAGGGTCGTTCGACCCCCCCAAAGGGGTCGCGACCCACAGGTTGAGAACCGCTGATCTAAGTACTTGGTTATGATCTCTGCCTGGAAAACTATTAACGCAAAGAATTAAAATTTTAGAGCCATTTTTGTATAATAATATTTTTATAATGGGTTACTTTATTTCAAATGATGGATTCTAAATAGCATACAATGTCAGTTCAGAAAAAAATTTACCACCTAGCCACAGTGTAATAATTAATGTGGTAAGGGGAAATTTGAGTGTGTGTAGAAAGGTTTTCAATGAGCTAAATATTTGCTTGAACCAGCTCTCTTGATATTTTTAATTGTAAATTCACATTTAGTTCGAAAACAAACATGAAGCACAGGGCAGTTATGAAAATAAATATAAATATCTCAAAATGTAACTTTTAAAATTGCATAACGCTGGTAATTTTAAAATTGCACAATGCTAATATTTAAAAAATTGCATAATGCTTGTAATTTTAAAATTACATATTGCTGGTAATTTTAAATTTGCATAATGCTGGTATGCTCTGTTACTATTTAGTAAACTTCATTGTGTGTTTGTGTCAATATCTGGGTAGGGCCTTTCTTTTTTAATATAGTAGGAGTATGTTTTAAATCATTTACAGTCTTAAAAAACTATAAGATTGTCAAAATGGGAAAGTTATTCTTAGCTGTGTGCAGTTTCAGACATTCTTTTCAAAATATACTGAAAATAATCATTTGCTATGTTTATTTCACCAGGTTCTTCCATTCATCAATTCCAACAAGCCGTCACAATTTGCCCAGAGTGACGTAACCCACAAACAAGGCCGTGATAAAATCTGGCTCAAGCGCCTGATACCACTCCTGTTCTCACGTAGACATGAGGCCCAGGCACTGGCAGCCTTTCATTTTGCCATGGAGGCGACCATCAAGGCTGAACAGGGCAGGCAAGAGGTTGGTACACAAGCGAGAAAGGCAATTGTCAAGTAGTGGAGGAAAAATTAAGTCAGATGCAATTCACGCTGCAGAATAGTTCAATGTAGCTAACACAAGGAGATACAACACTCTTCATGTTATTGGACCTGTATGTTTTATGTGTTACGTGATCCTCGCCTGTTATAAAATTGTTAATGTCAGTTTAAAGAATCGCTAACAAATGATAGACGAGCCAATAAAAAAATTAACATTTGCTTTAGTTCTCTCATTATAACAAAATATGTCTTTTAGTGCTATCAATGAGAAAATAGCTGAATAACGATAAATTTAGTAGTCTAGATTTGTAAAAACATGGGGGTCTTCATGTAGAACTCCCATAGTTAAAGCTGCTTACAGTTCCCTCGGATGTAGTTGACTTTCAGTCAAGAGCAGTCTTAATAAGTTGTAAGTTGTCTCCTCGAAAACTTCAACAGATTGATCTTTATCAATTGTTTATTTTTTTGTGTAAGGAAATCATCATAGCAACATTTTTTGATGGCATCAAAGAAGGATATCAAGTATCGGTTTGTTTCTTTTTCTTTCCTCTGGTTGTTAAAGAAATTATTTTTATTGGATTTTGAAATACATTTTAGAATAAATTCACCTCTATTCATTGTAATGAACTATTATTCTCTACCATTCTCCCCTGTTTGTTTGAGTTATTTGCCGAGTTGAGTTTTGACCAAGTAGTGAAGAAATTCATTGATTCTTGTTTGAGCTTTTTCATTCACTGTTGTATTTTAATAATAGTAATTCTTTACTCTGTGCTGCTGACCAGTAGAGGCAGCTTGAAATTAAAAGTTCATCTTGATTAATTTAAGAATTCCTACAAGCTGTAGCATCCTGTGGTGGTGACATTGGAACATAACATTGGAGTACTGACACTATATGAAGTTTTATGGCTGGTTACAAACATAATAATATTAATTGTAAAATTTTTTATATCATACGTGGTTAAAAATAACATTTGACTATGGGGGCCATTAATGCCGTATGCATGCACAAAATCTCTATATTCACTCCCAACCCACCTCTCCATGTTCTTTCCCTTTCAGGAAAAATTTCCTTATTTTTATTGAAATTATGACACAGATTTGTTAAGATTCTAAGTATGTCATATTTTTGCATACATAATCGTGTGTCAAGACCCTTCCCATGTCACCCCTTCTACCCCACCTCACTGAGTTCGTAATTCGTAGACCTAGCCCCTAAACAGACCTTTTTACTGATGATTGTTTTAACCCTAACTAATCCATTCATTTTCAATGTATGGTAAGATATAATTTGCTTAAATATCATGAGGTTATTGCTAGATTAGGTTGAAAAGGTTGCTAAGTTTTGGTGACAGAGTAACCCATATTTATGGATTGGCTTCAGCTAGACATGGTCTTCTGCTGAACCTGGTCTTCTTTATCAATTTCAGCATGAGAGGCTTCAAATGATTCTATTACACTAAAAAGTATTTCATACTAGAATATATCACCTGGTGTCACTGGGGTAAAAATGGAAGGCATGTTGTGCTGTATGCTACCCTCTATTGCAAAGTTGTAAAATCGGATAATTTTTATGTATGTAACTGGGTCTTGAGATATTGTATCCTCAAAAAAAAAAAAAATCACGAAACTTGTCCATGCCCTTGAAATGTATATTTAGTAAATATTAAACCACACTTTCCCTTTCATAAAGAAGTATATATATACTTTTTCTAGTATCACTGTGTTTTCAGAAATGTTTATCCTTGAATATAAGCGCATCCAACTTTTTTCACGCCTTTGAACTACAAAGAAAATTATTATTTTATTAATGTTATTTATAATTTGTAATAAAAATGCTTACATATTAAAGATTATTTATTCTTCATAAACACAGATATATTTTATCATATTTAAATTGACTTGCTTTCCAAAAAATAATAGAAAATGGCTATCATTGTCTTAGAAAATCCAAGCGTAACACATCAACATTGCTCATTCTTATATATATGATTCATATATATATATATATAAATTTAGCCAGATTAGTCTCAGATGCCCTAAGATTAACAAAAACTGGCCATCAAGTTAATCTAGAAAACTTGTTATTCTTTTTTTTCTTTTTAACAAATAGGCATTTTTAAATGTTAAAATCTCTTTGATATGGGCAAATAAATTATATAAAAACTGAAAGTGTTCGACTATGTCAGAATATTTCTTTACTAAGGTAGCAAATGAAACTTTCCCCCAGATTTTTCATGAGATTGATGCAGTGGAGCCCCTCAAGAAGATAGCTGGCAGCCCAAACACCGTGGCATCCAAGCTGGCAGCTGAGGCGCTCAAGATCATTGGTGAGAAAATACCCCACAAATTGTCCCAGCAGGTTCCACTGTGGACAGTGGATGATGTTGTGTACTGGGTCACGCAGGTCAGTGCAAACAAGGTTTCCGACGTGTATAAGTGCATGATTAAGGCGTACAGGGGGGCTATGAAATATAATCAAGTGCCAAATGAAAAAAAGTTGTTGCTTGTTATAATTTTCAGAAGATATTAATTAACAACTAAAAAATTTGACCATAACTAAAAATTCCTCCATTAAAATAATTATTCCAAATATTTCAATGGCATGAACATAGTGTTACACACTGTTCCTGAGGTCACCCCTTACTTTTATAACATAGTTTTACTTAGGTTAGCCTACTTTTGCCACCTGAGGTCATGGCCTCCTTTTAACATTGCCATTTAAGAATTAGACCCTTGAGCCATATAAATACAAAATGCTAAAAATCAAAAGGTAACCTTAATTTTAAACCAGATTTTAAACATCAAGAAGTAAATATGTTATAATGAAATGTATATCATGTAATAATCTTGATGGTGATATGTTTACATTGGTGCTGGCTCTTTAGATTCAGTGATGTTTATTACAGATTGGGTTTGAAGACTATGCTCCCAAGTTCCGTGAGTCCCGTGTGGATGGTGACATCCTTCTTATCACAACCGATGATGATTTACATCACGGGCTGGGGATGGACTCAAGTATAGTCAGGAAAAGGTGAGGTACAGCTTTTAAAGAAATTAGCTTGAACTTATATTATGATGACCCGTGTGTGCCAATGATTGGTCAAGTAGCTAATTTAATTGAAAAAATTCTAATTTGTAAAAAAAATGTAAAAATCATATACCAGCCATATTAAAATAGGTAATACCATATCAGCCATATTAAACTAGGCTTTGCTGTCAACAGATGGTTTCCACCCAACACCATAGACCATAACTCATGTTGTATGTGCCTTTAATCTAGTTTTTAACAAAATAATCTCTAAGTAAATAAATGGTATCATATTGAAATAGAAACCTACTTTAAGTTTTAGGAATTTATAAAGAGAAGGCATCAGGCAAGGTTTAAAAAAAAAAGTGAAAACTGCAAGTACAAGTTATGTCTTAGTTTAAAAAGAGACACACTAAAACAAACCAAAATGTACAGACTATATGTAAAAGATTGTTTCAGCTGGCAACAAGGCTAAAAACTAAAAATAAAATTTAAAAAAAAAAAAAATAAACCTAGTTTGTAATCTATTGGCACTTTGCCATGAACCTAGTTTGTAATCTATTGGCACTTTGCCATGAACCTAGTTTGTAATCTATTGGCAATTTGCCATGAACCTAGTTTGTAATCTATTGGCACTTTGCCATGAACCTAGTTTGTAATCTATTGGCACTTTGCCATGAACCTAGTTTGTAATCTATTGGCACTTTGCCATGAACCTAGTTTGTAATCTATTGGCACTTTGCCAAGAACCTAGTTTGTAATCTATTGGCACTTTGCCATGAACCTAGTTTGTAATCTATTGGCACTTTGCCATGAACCTAGTTTGTAATCTATTGGCACTTTGCCATGAACCTAGTTTGTAATCTATTGGCACTTTGCCATGAACCTAGTTTGTAATCTATTGGCACTTTGCCATGAACCTAGTTTGTAATCTATTGGCACTTTGCCATGAACCTAGTTTGTAATCTATTGGCACTTTGCCATGAACCTAGTTTGTAATCTATTGGCACTTTGCCATGAACCTAGTTTGTAATCTATTGGCACTTTGCCATGAACCTAGTTTGTAATCTATTGGCACTTTGCCATGAACCTAGTTTGTAATCTATTGGCACTTTGCCATGAACCTAGTTTGTAATCTATTGGCACTTTGCCATGAACCTAGTTTGTAATCTATTGGCACTTTGCCATGAACCTAGTTTGTAATCTATTGGCACTTTGCCATGAACCTAGTTTGTAATCTATTGGCACTTTGCCATGAACCTAGTTTGTAATCTATTGGCACTTTGCCATGAACCTAGTTTGTAATCTATTGGCACTTTGCCATGAACCTAGTTTGTAATCTATTGGCACTTTGCCATGAACCTAGTTTGTAATCTATTGGCACTTTGCCATGAACCTAGTTTGTAATCTATTGGCACTTTGCCATGAACCTAGTTTGTAATCTATTGGCACTTTGCCATGAACCTAGTTTGTAATCTATTGGCACTTTGCCAAGAACCTAGTTTGTAATCTATTGGCACTTTGCTAAGAACCTAGTTTGTAATCTATTGGCACTTTGCCATGAACCTAGTTTGTAATCTATTGGCACTTTGCCATGAACCTAGTTTGTAATCTATTGGCACTTTGCCATGAACCTAGTTTGTAATCTATTGGCACTTTGCCAATTCATGTTGTTTTTACTCAGAGTTGGAACCAAATTTTTCTGCAAACAATATTTTATCTCTATCTTTTAAAGCTGTGACATAACATGTACTATATGCTTCCTTAAATTTTTTTAGGGAACCACATAAAATTATTTCAAAATGAATTACTACAGGTTATAATGATTCTTTGAAGGTTTGCCAGGGAGCTGAAATCTCTGAAGATCACAGCGGACTATTCGATCAGCGACACCACGGGCCTGGACAACTGGCTCATGTCCATCAATCCAGAGCTATCTCAGTACACCTACTGGATGCTGCGCCAGGGGGTGGACAAGTTTGAGCTGCGGTCCCTGACTGAGGAGGAGCTGAAAGTTGAGTGCGGCATCCAGAACAGTATACACAGGCGGCAGATCCTGGTTCACAGAGATGGTAATTCCGGAACCGGTTAGGCTTAGCAGTTATTATCTCTTATTAGCAAATATCCATTAAATAAAACATGTTTGAGATAGAAAACATATAACTTTTCTGTGTATAGTTTTTATTTTTTTAGTGTCAAATTTTAAATTTGACCCAATGAAATTATCATAAAATAAAGGTTTTATTGTATTTTTTTTAAAAATCTTAAAGGCCAAGTCATATTTTTATCCAAGTGGCTATTCGGCCGTGTCCGCGAAGTTAGAGGTTGGGATTAAAATTTAAAATAGAATATTATTGTTAGGTTGTAAGACTAAATTTGGTATAAAGATAATTGAATGGATTATATGTTTGTAAACTTACTTCTTCAGTTTAACTAAAATAAACTACCACAAATGACATCCGAATAGCTTGAGTCTAATGGGACCCGGGTCCGAATAGCGGCGATGCGTTTCTGGTTCCATTTTGACTAAATTCTATTCGGATGTCATTTGTGGCAGTTTATTTTAGTTAAACTGAATAAGTAAGTTTACAAACATATAGTCCATTCAATTATCTTTCATTTGATACCAAATTTTGTCTTACAAACCCTACAATGATTTTTTAATTAACCCATACTCTCAACGGGTCAGAATAGCCGCATCCTATTTTTATTTAAATTAATAGATATACTTGTAAAAGAATAAAATTTATTTTAAGAAAAAAAAAGATATATTTGCTTTTAATCAATGTCCTAAACGTGACAGACGGGCATTTAAGAAAAATGTCTGTTGGAAATGGCATTTTTTGTATAAAGATATCAAAACATGTCATGTGCTCATTTTTCAGAACTAGCAAGTCCAGAGGCACCCAGTCTTTCTCACCACCACCAATACCTGCCAGCCATTGATCCCAGTCTAAGTGTCAATCTCACCAGTCTGAGATCAATCGATGTCTTCATTTGTTATAGAAGATCCAGTGGTTCTCAGCTTGCCAGGTGCTCACACGTTCATATTGAAATTGCTGTCATAAAATAAAACTTGTTAGGATGGGGTTTGCAACAAAATTAAAAAAAAAAATTAATTATGCTTTGAAAATGAAGGTTTAACATGACACCAACCAAAGTGATGGGATAGAAGAGAGACAAGCCTTCAGTTTTAAACCTGGATAACAGCAAAGTGTTATTTACAGAGATATCTAACCATTGTGTGTTATTTACAGAGATATCTAACCATTGTTTTACATGCGGAGAGGAAATAAGATTAACCAACATGAATGATGAGTTCAATAATCTGTTTTTTTGTTTTCCTCCACAGTTTGCTCAAGGTCCACCTTCAGCTACGTGGGTTTTCTGTCTTTCTAGACATAGACAGACTCCGAGCAGGAAAGTTTGATGAGAACCTGTTGTACAGTATTCAGGTTTCCAGCCATTTTATTCTCATTCTGACACCTGATGCCCTGGAGAGATGTATAGGTATTCTAATGTGTGACCATGTCTGTCTAATTCATCACAGAGCTGCCGATAAATGGGGTTGTTTGACACGCAGCATCGGAAACTCTCTCACCATTAGAAACCCTCTCACCATCAGAAACCCTTTCACCATCAGAAACCCTCTCACCATCAGAAACTCACCATCAGATACCCTCTCACCATTAGAAACCCTCTCACCATTAGAAACCCTCTCACCATTAGAAACCCTCTCACCATTAGAAACCCTCTCACCATCAGAAACCCTCTCACCATTAGAAACCCTCTCACCATCAGAAACTCACCATTAGAAACCCTCTCACCATTAGAAACCCTCTCACCATTAGAAACCCTCTCACCATCAGAAACCCTCTCACCATTAGAAACCCTCTCACCATTAGAAACACTCTCACCATCAGAAACCCTCTCACCATCAGAAACCCTCTCACCATCAGAAACCCTCTCACCATCAGAAACCCTCTCACCATCAGAAACCCTCTCACCATTAGAAACCCTCTCACCATTAGAAACCCTCTCACCATCAGAAACTCACCATTAGAAACCCTCTCCGTCCATTAGAAACCCTCTCACCATCAGAAACACTCTCACCATCAGAAACCCTCTCACCATCAGAAACCCTCTCACCATTAGAAACCCTCTCACCATCAGAAACTCCAATTAGAAACACTCTCACCATCAGAAACCCTCTCACCATCAGAAACCCTCTCACCATCAGAAACCCTCTCACCATCAGAAACCCTCTCACCATCAGAAACCCTCTCACCATCAGAAACCCTCTGACCATTAGAAACCCTCTCACCATTAGAAACCCTCTCACCATCAGAAACTCACCATTAGAAACCCTCTCACCATTAGAAACCCTCTCACCATTAGAAACACTCTCACCATCAGAAACCCTCTCACCATCAGAAACCCTCTCACCATCAGAAACCCTCTCACCATCAGAAACCCTCTCACCATTAGAAACCCTCTCACCATCAGAAACTCCAATTAGAAACACTCTCACCATCAGAAACCCTCTCACCATTAGAAACCCTCTCAACCATCAGAAACCCTCTCACCATCAGAAACCCTCTCACCATCAGAAACCCTCTCACCATCAGAAACCCTCTCACCATCAGAAACCCTCTCACCATCAGTGTCTGTGGTTGTCACAGATCTTACCCGGCAATGTCCTATTATGAATGGGTTTTGTAGTTCTGCCAAGCCTGATGTTTTGTAGTTCTGCCAAGCCTGATGTTTTGTAGTTCTGCCAACCCAGCCTGATGTTTTGTTGTTCTGCCAAGCCTGATGTTTTGTAGTTCTGCCAACCCAGCCTGATGTTTTGTTTGACAAAGCTGCACATGAAAACTCTTAGGATATACTTTTTTTAAACAGAAAATTGTTGTAAAACTGGTTTTGAAAAAAAAAACAATTTAAAAAATTAGTTTCAGTTGACTAATCCTCACATCACATCGCACAAACAAGATGGCATTTAAATTTGTTAATGTAGTTTTCAAAGATTGTTATTTTGTCTCCTTGCCCAGTGACTGTATTACACCTCCTTTCCCTCCCCCCCCCCCCTCTTTCTCCTGATCCTTTTTCACAACGTATAGCATAGCCATGTTTTTAATGTTTCTCACTGACTTTTTAGTTGTAATGGTCCCCTCTCCTCCCTAAACTGAAACTTTTTTTTGACCCTGGCGTTGTCAGCCGTTACTAAAGCTGAATGATGACATCTTTTTATTTTCTTCTAAAGTTTGTATCACAAAGGTCTAAAAAAAACCAAAAAAACAAAGTGGATTGTTTTGTGTTCCCAGGAGATGATACCCAAGAGGACTGGGTCCACAAAGAGATAGTCGCTGCCCTTGAAACCAACTGTAACATTGTGCCCATAGTGGACAACTTTGAGTGGCCTCCCTTGGAGAAGCTGCCAGCTGACATGAGGGGTGTGGTTAGATTCAACAGTGTCAGGTTAGGCTTTAAGTGGACTTAAAATGTTACGCAAGGCTACAGAATCTGCACTAAGTTAAATACCAATTTATTAAAATAAAATCTGATGAACAACCAAAAGCTGCGATCCCTGTTAGTGGAACGTATCCAACAGGGCCTTAAACCACTAGCATCTTCAAGAGAGAGAACCTTAGTACGTTGTAAATAAAATACAGTAATATATTATTTCTTAAGTCCAATCCAGTGCTGTTATTACAAAACTTTGAAGAAATGTTGATTTTAAAAAACTTGCTTATAGTGACACTAATTATAAAAAGTGTTGGACCGCGATAAAGCTTATAGTGATAGTGTGTAAACAATAAGTGTTGTCGCAATGTTAAGAAAAAAATCTCTTTCATTTTATTTTCTACCAAATGGCGGCCCTGGCTGAATTAACTGAACATTTTTTAATGGCCCAAACGTCCATGAAACTTACTATGCAGCATGCCACATTAACAAGCGAAAATAATTCTTAAAAATGATACTTGCATTCAGTTTATCATCAGTAAGAATTCATCTTATATTTTATTGTTAATACTTTTGGAATAAAATGCTGTTTTTTGTAAAAACTCACGCACCGCCTCTGTTGGGTGTTACTGGGGGTTGCTTTTTGCATTCTGGTAACATTATCTTCACATATAGCATTACCAAAAGGCAGGCAACAACAATTTTTGAAGTGAAAACAGGTTCTCAGATTATTAAGATTTAAGAACCAAGCAATAGATTAAAACATATCTCCTCCAATTCTTCCATAAACGCACTGAAGAAATAAAGTATTGGTCTTAAAGGCCAACTAGGTCACTGATACAAATTACGATTTCTGTTAATGGAATACAGTTTTTATTCCCTTTTTTTTGTTTTTTGGTGCTCATGTCTGATATAGTGTTTCATAATTGTTTCTTCACTGCGGCAGGTGGGTCCATGAATACCAAGATGCCTGCGTTGACAAGCTTGAGACATTCCTTCGCAGAGGCCGCCGTGTCTCTCAGCAGGTCCACAACACCCTGTCGCCACTGCACACCTCTGAGCCACCGTTCTCACCTGACACCCCATGTAAATCCTCGAGCTATCACAATCTCCTTGATCTAATACCATCTTGATCTAATACCATCTTGATCTAATGCCATCTTCATCCCAGAATGGTTTTTTTTGGGTTTTTTTTGGATTGAACAGCATCTGGATAATGCAGTCTTCTGGATTGTATACCCTCGGGATCACACGATCTTGTGAATTTTAAAAAAATCAAGCTGACCCTCTGCATTCTACCTTGACCCTCTACATTCTACCTTGACCCCTGCTTTCTAAATTGATGATCGGATTCTACATTAACCCCTGGATTCTACATTGACCCTTGAACTCTACCTTGACCTCTGGGTTGCACATTGACCCCTAGATTCTACATTAACCCCAGAATTATACCTTGACCCCCTGGATTCAACCTTGACCCCTTGAATCTACAATGACTCCTTGATTCCACCTTGGTCCCTCGGATTTCACCCTGGCTCCTGCATTGTTTTATTTCCAGTAGCAGCCGTGTGACAACCAAGATTGTATTAAATGTTTATACAAAAGGATTCAGTGCAATCTGTGATGTCTTATTTCAGTTCCCTGTAGGATGAGTGTAATGACTGTCAATATGACACTAGTAGCTCTTAAGGAAATCATTTCTCCATGTATTTGACCCAATCCTGGAAACTGTTATAGATGTCAGGAGAAACATCAATGTTATACCTATGATGTAAGGGGCTCATTTGAGTAGCTGGGAACCAGCAATGCCATCAAGGACTTAATCAAGTGGAAAATGTCGGTGTGCCATTTTTTAATAAATTTTTTTTAAAAAACATTAAATTACAAGTTGGTTACAACCACACGTTTCTGAGAAGTGTTGGAGAATTTCTTACTTTGAAATTTAAACAGGTATTCAGTAATTGAGAGTGATGAGAAATGGAGAGTAATGACTGCAGACAAGAGCCACATTAAATTTCAGATCAAAGCGCCATAGTCAACATTAGGAGTGCCAGCGTGTTTATCATGACACAGCCGGCCACCTGGGTTTTACTGTCAATCTGACTTTAAGAGTGTAATGACGTTCATTGTGTGAAAAAGCCTGTTGTGAACTGTGACATACAAAGGTACAAGATGATAGGTGAGGCAGTGATTGTAGCAGACAGCTAATACATTTCTTTTCACTCCAGGAATAAAAAAATTTAGTCATGAACCAAAGTGAGGGATCTAATTTGTCTGAATATTATGGAGATTTAGTTTATGGCAATACAGTCTTTGATCATTTGTGGTCAACTTGTCAAAATCTTTTATTTTTTATTTTAAGAAAATGACAAGATTTTCAGTGTGATTTGAAAGTGATGAAAATGTTCCTGTTAGTTTAACAAATGCAGTTTTGAAAGATTTTTTCCCACACAAATGAATTTTCAGAAGGCAATAAATAGTTCAGGAAACAAATAATTATTTTATTATTAATGAATCAACAACTTAAAAACTACAGTGAATCAATGTTAGATGAGCTTTTACTCAAATTGGCCTATGGAGATAAAAAGCAAGTATATTTCATCTCAATCCTAGCAAACTGAAGAGGTGCGGTGTTTTAGTGCATTGCTCTGCAACCCATTGGCACACTGGTGTGCCACGAGATGTTGCCAGGTGTGCACCGCTAAATGCCACCAAGAGGAGGAAAAGTACAGGAAAGTATACTTAGGTATGTGAATGTGATAAAAGAGGAGGTGAGACAAAAGGGACAGTGGTTAGCTTATTGCCTAGCTGTCAGGCACTGAAAGAAATGTGCAGAGAAAAAAAGGGACATTGGTCAGCCTATTGCCACAGTGTCAAGCCCTGCTATGAAAGAATTGTGTTGAACGCAGGCAGCTAACATGGAATAATATGGTGTCTCTCATTTTAGCATTACCCGCATTTTGAAACGTAGCGACATCATGTTAATCTGGTTTGCCACAGAATTCTCGAGGGGGCTTAAGGTGTTCAACGTGGGTGAAAAAAATTTTGCAGAGCTCTGTTTTAGTGGAAGGCCACTGTCTATATTGTAATGAAGCATTTGCGTTTATTTTCATCTATGTATTGGTTTGAACTCTGATTCAATTTTATCTTAATGTCTGCCATGTTTTTGAGATGGTTCATTTGAGTTTATAAATGATGTACTCCATACTTGATTCCCTGGTTGTCACATGGCAGGGGGAGTTTTTGTTAAGTTTAGCAATAAGGAGATCTTTGTATAAACATGAATTGACATGAGATGATCTGTTATCAAGTGGTTGATATAGATTTGTGATGTTTTAATTTGATCGGGCACCAAAGTTTTGTTGTAGTGTCTCTGGCTCTTTTTTTGTCAGAAGTTATTGAATTCAGCAAATCCACCAAATTTGTGATTTTCTTATTTGTTATATTGTAATTAATGTTTTTTTATTTATTTATTTCATTGCTCCTGTTAGAAAAAATAGATTTTTAAATTTGTAGTAATTAATTAATGATTAATTAATGCCTAATTCAGAGTAACTCGTCAGTTGTATTTTTAAATCTGAAAAAAGTTTTTGTCTCATGTTTTTTAAGTTTGATTTTTAAAAAGTATTAATATTTATTTCCTTATTGGAGGTCATTTTAATAAATTGTTTTATTTTAATCGTATGCCACCTCACCCACTACTTTAGGGGAATTTGTTATGAAGTACTGGTAGTTGAAATAATGAAAGACTCAAATTAATAAGTGTGTCATATAACATAAAACATAATATCCCTTAAGATAATAAATAAGATCAATACTACAATTTGATATTAAAAATAACAACACATAAATTAGTACAGAAAACAAGTGAGTCTACCTTTTATTATTAAGTATTAGTTTAATAAATTCATAAACTATTGTTAAATGAAAAATAAATTTTGTATTACAAAGCTTGTTGTTACAATGAAAGCAATAATTATTCCATTTTTTTTTTTATGTCCGCCATGGTAAAACTAATCTTATCATGTGTCTGCCATATTATATTTATGAAAACCATTTTATCTTCAATTTTTTTTAAAACAATTTATTTAAAACAAATTTTGCCAACATATTGGATGGATACTATAAATGAAGATAATCTCTAGCATTTTTCATTGTATTTTTCCCTTATTGCTCACACAATTTTTATCACTTATATTCTGTTCTTTACTTCATATGATTGAATTTTTAAGGCTGAAGGTTTTCTCTCCCTATCAACATAGTATTTTAACAACAAAATGTCAGTGTGCTATCCAACAGCAGCCACCATGTGGATATGTCATTGTTAACCTCCAAACTGGTTTCACTTATACTAGGGAGTATAGGCTCACTGGAGAACTTAACATCTTGAGCAGTGTTAAAAAATCTTGGGGTTTGAGCCTCTTCACTGCCAATTCACTGCCACGAACGTCTCATTTCACTGTGGAGGCAGAACGTCTCATTTCACTGTGGAGGCAGAACGTCTCACTTCACTGTGGAGGCAGAACGTCTCATTTCACTGTGGACGCAGAACGTCTCATTTCACTGTGGAGGCAGAACGTCTCATTTGACTGTGGAGGCAGAACGTCTCATTTCACTGTGGAGACAGAATATCTCATTTCACTGTGGAGGCAGAATGTCTCATTTCACTGTGGAGGCAGAACATCTCATTTCACTGTGGCGGCAGAACGTCTCGTTTCACTGTGCTCGCAGAACGTCTCATTTTAAAGGTCTTAGAATGCCAATTTATCAAATGATAATTTTTGTAAACAATTTAAGTGGCAATAGTAAATCAAAAAGTCACAGTTCATCTATTCAGAGCCTTGAAACAGTTGTTTGGCCCATGGTAATGTTTAATTTAGCACACCAGCATCACCTTTCATCCAATCAGAGCCTTGAAACAGTTCTTTGGCCCATCCTAAAGACAGAGCTACTAATGTTTAATTTAGCACACCAACATCACCTTTCATCCAATCAGAGCCTTTAAACAGTTCTTTGGCCCAGCGTAAAGACAGAATTTACTAATGTTTATTCTATCAGACTATTATCTACCTCTTTGTTTTTTTCAAACAATGTTTATTAAAAAATATTCTGAATGTTTTTATATAAAGTCCAAATATAATATACTGTGAATAGATTTACACTTTAAAATAAATGCTTTCTTAATTTCATATTTATGTGAAGGAATATTTTTTAAACATTTGACAGAAGGGGCCCAGTGGATGTAACACATTTTGAAAAGAAACATTTTTTTTCTTCATTGTAACCCTAGCTTAAAAAACACTAATACAAAAAGAGGATAACGACAGTTATGGGAGATGTAAATCTTTAGCAAAGGCGATTTTTGTACGACTTCAAACCATTCATTGGAATAGTCATCTGTGGTTGACTCTTCATGTGTAACAATGAATTATAATTCTTACTCTACCCTAACTTTGTTATTCATTTTGATTAATAAATTAAAATCACATTTTTAACCAGTTTTCATCAAAGTTACTTAACATGTAACTTTACAGCTATTCAAATACCTCTTGTTTTTTCTTTTTTGTTGTTTTCTTTTTCTACAATTCTCTACACCGCTATAATTCTTTCCTGTTGGTTGACCTGTAACTTTACGGAAAGAGTCTTAATTGTTGTTTGTCCACCCATGTACTCCAACGACTGTCTCAAACTACTGGATCATCATATTCAAAAACTTTCTAATGGTGAAGATCCCAGTATTTATTCTCCGTTCTACAAAGATCTGAGTTGACAACTCTTACATTGTCAGGTCTGTTTTGTTGAAATTTTTGTGTGAAATCTTCACACTGTGATTTTTATGTCAAATATTGTTTCATGATTTTTTATTTTGTCTCTGCCTCAAACCTTTGGATTCTGTTGATGATGATTGAATACTTTTACATCGCTTGTGTCCATGCTATTTTATTTAGCATGCTCACAGCGCTCTGATGTCCTAACATCTATTTAAAGAAAAAAAAAATATTTACATTGTTCTTAAATTATTTTTTTATCATTCTCAATTTCCCTCAAAGATTGAGGCGAACTGTTTGATAATTTAGGTGCTATAGCTTCAAAAGAGCGCACTCTGTATGACTTCTTTCTGTTGATGGTCCACCCATGTACTCCAACACACTGGGAACTCTCAGTAAGGACTGTTGGGGACTACATGAAATGTGCACTGTTAAATAAACATAACAATCAGCATTTCATCCATCTTCCATGTGATATAAATATCCCCGGACTTTTTAAGTCAACATCTCTCTCCCTTTCCAGATAAACACAGAAATCCAGTTCTGTACATATCTCATTCCGTTTTAATGAAACAAATAAAAATTAAATGTATTTCTTTGATGTGAAAAATTGATTATTTAAGTCAATGAAGATCTTACATCAGTTCAACTTTCTCCTTTCAATATTTAAAAATAATAAATTTAAAAAATCACTTCTTTTTGAAAATGTTTGTTTAAAAAATATAGTGTCAACAAAAATAATCTTTACAGAAAATGTAAATTAGTTATATCTGGTAGCTTTCATATCGCCTTCCATCCTCTTTCCACAAAAATAACTGCACTTCGTCTTTGATTGTCCCTCGCAATAGTGTTTGTATAGTGTGACATGAACTCTTTGCCTCAGTAATAGTTTATATGGTGTGACATGCACTCTTTGCCTCAGTAATAGTTTATATGGTGTGACATGCACTCTTTGCCTCAGTAATAGTTAATATGGTGTGACATGCACTCTTTGCCTCAGTAATAGTTAATATGGTGTGACATGCACTCTTTGCCTCAGTAATAGTTAATATGGTGTGACATGCACTCTTTGCCTCAGTAATAGTTAATATGGTGTGACATGCACTCTTTGCCTCAGTAATAGTTTATATGGTGTGACATGCACTCTTTGCTTCAATCTCCTGTTCTGTTGGCATCTCATTGTGTTCTCTAAATTTTTACTAAGAGTTAAAAACTATAAGTTTTAAGTTTTATGGCTGAGAATATCTTTGAAAACAATTAAACAAAGAAACAAGATGGTCATATCTGAGATGGTCATGTCTAAGATGGTCATGTTTGAGATGGTCATGTCTAAGTTGGTCATGTCTGAGATGGTCATACCTGAGATGGTCATGTCTGAGATGGTCATGTCTGAGATGGTCATGTCTAAGGTGGTCATGTCTAAGGTGGTTATGTCTAAGATGTTCTGTCCACATTTTTAGTCACTTATTTATTAATGTATTGTTTCATCCCATCTCATAGTTAAAGTCACATTTGTTTTTGTTTTACTTAATTGCTGTTGTCTACATCTGGTGTGGTGCACATCCAGTCCTGTGTACACAATCTGCCATGAACACCCACAGGTACACAATCTGCCATATACACTCACATGTACACAATCTGCCATGAACACCCACATGTACACAGTATGCCATATATACTCACATGTACACAATCTGCCATGTACACTCACATGTACACAATCTGCCATGTTCACCCACATGTACCCAATCTGCCATGTACACCCACATGTACACAATCTGCCATGTACACCCACATTTGATTACACCACTGGAGCCACTTTTACACCACCAGTACCCACTTTTACACCACCAGTACCCACTTTTACACCACCAGTACCCACTTTTACACCACCAGTACCCACTTTTACACCACCAGTACCCACTTTTACACCACCAGTACCCAGCAGTTCACTTATAAATAGCCATTTTTTATAGCCACCTTAGTAGAGATGTCTTCATGAAAACTTATTTTAGTTGCTCATTTGAATCAGGTTTTTTACTTCAACTTTTTGTCCTAGTGATTTGACTTTTAATGATCGGTATTGAATGATCAGTACAATGATTTCATGTTGTTTTTTAAATTAATGTTTCCGTTTTCTATCTTTTTTCTTTTATTTTTAAGCCAACCTGGCCAGTATTTTATGTTCGTTTGAGTTGACCAATCCAATTACCCCAGTTTTTTTAATTTTCCAGTCCAAACTAGCTTTACCCGTTTTTACAAGGAATGGTTTCTTTTTTTTTAAATGATAATTTTAAAAAAACCAAAAGAAACATTGATGCTATTTTTTTGTATTTTGGTACAAAAAGAAAATTATCTAAACATTATTTACTGTTTGTGTTTGCCTTTTATAATTAAGGTAACGAATTATCTCAGAGGAGAAAAAGCATGGCTGGAATCAGGATGTTGCGTGACAATAGTGAAGTTTTTCACTTTTAATATGGAAAAAACAAAACAAATATATTTGTGTTACAAATGTAACTTTGAAAGCTTTTATGCATAGGCAAGATCTCATAAGAACAGGAAAACTCACAGAAGTTACTGATGTGAATAGACAATGGTTGATGAGAAAGTCCGAGGGACAATTATTAATTACTGCTTTGAATTTTTTTTCTTAATTTATTTTTTATAGGTTGAACTATTCAATGAGCATTAAATGTATTAACAGCTTGAGAACTGTTTTACAAATCTCTTGTTTAACAGAGTTTTTATATTTTTTTAAAATAGAAGACAAATAGTTAATTTTTATGGTTTCCTGGATATACATGAAAAATATATTACACATTTTTTTTTTACTTCTTCTAATTACTCTCAATATTAGTTCTTGAATGGCAATTTTTTTTTTTTTTAAAAAAAAAAAAAAAAAAAAGAAAATTGAAAAGAAATATTTATTTGTAATTAAATTATTCTTATTTAAATTTTAAAAAATTGTGTTCAATAAAAATGGTTGGTATAGAGTTTTCCCCAAACTGTGGGCAGCAGGACCCTGGAAAGTTTCCAAGCTATCCATCAACTTATTTATATGTGCCATAAACAAGTTCATTTAATGATGTCTTTGTTATGTGTTAGGAGTGATCAGCTGTGTCTTTTAAAAAAAAACTGAAGAAGAAAATATTGAACTGTCTTAGGTCTCCAAGTTTTCCCAAAATCCTTTGTTTTATTTTAGCTATACACCTGTAGCATCAATGGTTTGCACCCAATTTTATCAGGTCATGCCAGCTATTTATGGCTTTTTGCCACCCCTCATTTACGTATGACATCACATACACTCAAAGATATGCTGCAGTTTGTATTACATAATTTTTACATTTATTTCTTGCACTCCATTTTCATTTCAAGTCCAAATTTTTATTTCCTGACTTACATACTATTTATGTGTTAGCGCCATTTGTAGAATTACCTAATTATTGATTTTTTTCAATTTTGTTTGAATAAACTTAAAGTATAATTTTGCTCAAATTCAGGAACTGGACCTATTAGCTGCGTTGTTGCACACCACATGTAAGAAGACAATGGGGTTGTGGTTTTTTTCTTGTTGCATGGCTTCCCATCGTTAACAGAAGTGGATATCTGAGATTGTGGGTTTAAAAAAGTGGTTATCTGAAATTGTGGGTATAAAAAAGTGGTTATCTGAGATTGTGGTTTTAAAAAAGTGGTTATTTGAGATTGTGGGTTAACAAAAGTGGTTAACTGAGATTGTGGGTTAACAGAAGTGGTTATCTGAGATTGTGGGTTAACAAAAGTGGTTATCAGAGATTTTGAGTTTACGAATGTGGTTATCTGAGGTTTTGAGTTGACAAACGTGGTTAACTGAGATTTTCATTTGTGAACACATTTTTTGTTGATATATTTTTGGTAAAGGTAAAAATAATGCAAGTTAAAAAGCTTCACTGTGAGATGTTTGAGCAAAATGCAGATCTTTTAGGGTGTAAGATATCACAATTGATCTCCAGATATGTATGGTGTCTATAGAGTTGAAAAGAGCAAAAAATAAAATTTACGACAACAGTGCTAAATGAGATCATTAAACCAACTGCATGTGCATTTGGTGGGTAATGTCTTCTTTTGTTTTAGGGAATTATATTATGTAAACAATCAGGGTGTAAAAAGGCCTGAGACATTAGAATATTAATATAGTTCATGTGGTGAACAAAGTTTGCTTTGGCATATTGGGGGGGGGGGGGGGGGTTTTGTACTA